AGGCGTGCCGTAAAAGCGAGCATTTCCTTCATTTACCCACTCTGTGCGAATCCCCCTTGATTCTGGCTGCTGGCCATTTTCGTTCATGAAATCGTCGGATATCATCAGAAAACGCGGGATTTGTGCAGTTTTGAATAAAACCAAGTTAGCAATTATGAACAATGGTTATTAACGTAACACCTGACCCCCTCTAAAATTTTTGTTTCGCATTTTAAGGTAAGAAATCGACATTTGAAACCGACAGGGTGTCGATTTACTAGGTGCCGTGTTTCACAACTTGTTTATTTATATATGTATAGCGGATGATTTTTTTTTGAAAATTAGTATTTATTGATTTTCAGCCCCCAAGTGACTGTGAACCAACTTCATCAAAAGTGCAAATATGTACACTACAGAGTATCTATAGCGATAATAGCTACAATATGTACATTATAAATAAAAATATAAACAAATTTATCAACATATAAACAAATAACTGAACAATGAATAACTGTTAATACCTTTCCCCTTGAGAATCTAGATATTCATTTAACAGAATCAAATCAAGAGTGGTCATGAGGTCACGATGCACTAGATGCCAGGTTTGATATATTCATTGCAGCACAAAAGTTTGAATAAAATTTCTAAAACAATACAATAACATATCTTAAACAAAAAAAAATGAAAATACTGGCCAACTTTTAGGTCATAACAATTCTGAACAAAAATAACAAGGTCACTAAAAATCATCTAGCTGTACATGTGCACACAAAAGTAACTTAAATTTTTGAAGTTATAGTAGCATTGCTTATTATTCAGTCTTGATTATGGTTTGGTATGAAATTTAAGCAAATTAAACTAGATATCATAAACCAATGTTTTACCACACTTCAGCAATATTGAGCCCAAAATGATTAATAATGATTTAAAAAAGATAGAATAACAACTGTTGTAACCACAAGAAAAAGGTTTACACTGTAGATAGGGAAAGGAACAGACATTCTCACCCTCACCTTTCCCTTTATCTAATAATGATCAGACAAAGTAAAAATGCATTTTTATAACTGGGTAAAAATTATGTTTTTTAGGCCTAGAATTCAAATTGCTGAATAGATCCTGGCTCCATGAAGTTTACTGGAATGAAGTATTTATTACAACATTCTACTGACCAGGCAGGACTCGCAGCTATAAAGTAATTCACAGTTTGAAAGGCATTATGATATATTTGAAATTAAATAGATTTCACAATTGCATACAGTTGGGTCCCAGTTGCATAACAAAACACTGTAATATAAATAATGTTATGTATCTAAATTGTTACAAATCAAATGTACGAGTACATGATGTTTCTGTAGCACTAGCAATAAATGTTCTATGCTTGTGCTGCAACTAAGCTGTTTGAAGGATGGAACATAAAAAACAATTCTATGGAAAATTCAATATAATGCAATTTATTCCTGCATTTGAGTTTTAAATACATTTGATAGTACCTAAGTTTCATGTAAAATAGCTGTCAGAGAAATACGCAAAGACTTATGAGTAATTACCGTTACCAAAGGGCTCTTTTAGCCAATAAAAATATCTGCTGATTTGAATATAGTGTGTGGGTCTTCCAGGGATGAATGTTTTATAGATACTTATAAATTTCCATAAAATATGTAGTTTATGTGTGTTCAACTATTCAATAGGTTGGATAACTACAGTATTTCACTTAACATACCACAACCTGCATTATATTTATTGTAAATCATATTTCCTTAGTGCTAAGAAAATGTATTTTTGGGAAATCAACTTCAAACCAGCTTTGTTGCAGCCAAAGCTTAACATAGTTAGACACAGTGTGGTTAGTGTCTACAGCCAAATATCTGCTTGAATGATTGCAACTAATTTAAAGCTTTTATTAGTTGAACGGTGGCTGTTTTGTAATAACTTTCACAGTCTAATCAACACAAGGCTGTCACTCATATTCAGCCCAAACCCTGAACCCAACCATTTATTAGCCACTATTTCAGCTCCATTCCAGCTTTTATCATCCATATTTCAACTGGGGGTGTGCAGCCTACTGGAGATTGAGTGGAGGAATTCCACTGTTAAAAGTTGCTCCATGAAATGGACCACCAATTGTACTATTGAAACCTAGTCTCTGAGTCCTATCATCATGACTTGGCCCAAGTAAGTTATTAATACTCATGGCATTATTGGAGAATGACTGTGAAGGGTGTGGTAAAGGTGGTCCAGGTTTGTTAGTATGGAGAGATGCAACACTTGAATCTAAGTTTATTCCAGGATTTCCATGTAATCGTAATGGGGAAATGTTCATTCCTATACTCTCCGTCTGTGATGTGGAACCAGCCCCAGTGATTTCTGGGAAAATGTTACTAACATTGAAGTTAGACACATGAGGAGTTACTGTGACATTTGATCCAATTTGAGATGCCATTCCAGGAGTGGTTTTTCCAATATTGAATCCAGATTGGTGCTCTTGAAAAACAGGAAAATTAGGTTGAAAATTCATTCCTATTCCGGCTGGTCTAGGAGGGGTAAACATGGGGTTAAAAGGTGCACTTATCTCTGCATCCCGTCCAATGTTTGGTTTCGAAGGCTGAGGAGGGCTGGTCAAAATGTGGTTAGGTAGAGGTGGTGGGAAATAGGTGGGCATATCAGTTCCACTAAGATGCCTTGGAGGGGAGAAACTAGGAATGAAATTGGAGTCAATAGACGTTGTCACTGGTTGAATAGGTAAGTTATAGGAAGAATGAGCTCCTGATGGATTTCCAAATCCAGGTAGAAATGGTGTAGCAGAATTGTTAATATCAGGAACTATAGCAGTGTTCATATTTCTCTGTGGTGAAAATCCATGCCATAACGGTGCATCTTGAAGACCAATATTGTCCCTATTGTCTGAGTCTACATTATTACTGTTTCTATTGATCTGTGATGAAGCTGAAGAGTTCCTGGATGCAGATGAACTTCTTTGACTTTCTACTTGACTTCTGTAAACTTGCCTATTATTTTGTTGAGTGTTCTGTGATCTTCCTGTATTAAGCCTCTTTGAAGTTTTATCTTGTTCTTCTCTAGAATGTTGTCTTTTCTGTGCCTGCGATTTGCTATTTGTGTTTGCAGCTGACGTTTGTCCCACACAGCTGCTAGTTTTGCCAGAAACATTAGTCTGTCTGGTAAGTGACCTGCTATCAACTGATCCTTCTATTAAGTTTCTTTGACTGAAATTAGGGTTTGGTGCAAATTGAGATGTTGATATTGGTGTGTGTTGTTGGTTTGTTGGGAAATGACCCTGTTGGTTTCTTCTTGGATACTGTGCAACTTTTTCCTGGGACCTTGGAGACATATCAACATTGGCAGAAGGCCCTTGCTGTCGCTGTGATAAAGATTCCCTCTGTCGCCCACTCTGAAAATGGCTTTGGGGCGTTGGTAGAGGTTGTGTCTGCTTTTGCTGCTGGTGTTGTGATTGTAAATGTGGTTGAGAATGTTGAGATTGTTGAAGTTGCAGCTGCTGTTGATTTTGATGCTGCAGCTGTTGCTGCTGCTGATGTTGCTGATGAGAAAGCTGTGGTTGGTGATGACTGGGCCGTTGATGGTTGAGCTGTTGTTGTTGTTGTTTCCTTTGTTGCTGATGCAAATGGCCTTGAGGTGACAGTCTTTGTGTCCGATGAGTGTTGCCAAAATTTCCAGAATTTTGGCTGCCCCCATCTGAAACACAGCCAATATTGTGGTTTCGTGGGGATTGCTGCATGGGATCAAACTGCTGCCTCTTTTGTTGATGGTGTTGCTGTTGTTGTTGCTGCTGCTGCTGCTGTTGTTGTTGTTGTTGTTGTTGTTGTTGTTGTTGTTGTTGCTGTTGTTGTTGTTGTTGCTGCTGCTGCTGATTTTGTTGTTGTTGATGTTGCTGCCTGCGATGCTGCTGATGCTGTTCTTGCTGTTGTACAAAGTGATGTTGTTGAGAATTACTGTAAGGCATCATCATATTGACATTTGGACTAACTTGTGATGGTGTATTGCCAAGATGTTGTTGCTTGTCTAAATTATGTTTCATGGTCTGCACTGGACTTTTACTTGAAGCATATCCAATTGCTTGGTTAATACCAACTCTTGCACCAGAAGGATGTGATGTCTCAACTCTTGCACCAGATGAATGGGACGTCTCAACTCTTGCACCAGATGGATGGGATGTCTCAACTCTTGCACCAGATGGATGGGATGTCTCAACTCTTGCACCAGGTGGATGGGATGTCTCAACTCTTGCACCAGATGAATGTGATGTCTCAACTCTTGCACCAGATGAATGGGATGTCTCAACTCTTGCACCAGATGGATGGGATGTCTCAACTCTTGCACCAGATGGATGGGATGTCTCAACTCTTGCACCAGATGGATGGGACGGTGATTTCCACATGTTGTTCTCACACATTGTATGTGGAGAATAAGCATGTGATGACAATGCAGAATTCCTCGCAACTGTACCAGAGCCTTTACTTTGCACAGGTGAAGCCACTGATGATTGCACTGATGATGGCAGTGGAGAAGATGCAGTCATAGATGATGGTACTGCTATTGACATTGGTGATGTTTGTGGCTGAACTGAAGGCATGGAAAAGTTGTAATTTGACTGCTGGACTGATGCCCTTGAAACCCACATGGGAGATGACTGTGTACTCATAGCTGTAACAGCAGTTTGTCTCTGTTGTTGAACTGAAGTACTAGTAACTGACTGAGACATGGAGTTTGCATTTGAGACAGGAATTGTGTGCTTGGTAGGAACAGTGCTCTGACTCAGACTTTGGACACTATATGATGTATTGGAACTCTTTTTCCTTGAGCGTTGGCTCCTAGTATTAGTTGTTTGGGTTCCCGTCAAAGGCCGGCTTTTACTTGCTGAAGTTTGTGGCATTACATAAACATCAGGCTGGGTATGTGCAGGAAGTGAGGTCACAGTTGATAGAGGTGCTACTGAAGGTTGTGTAGAATCGAAGGTACATGAAGTCATTGAGTCTGACATGTCAAGTGACGATATTGTAAAGGGAGATGACTGCTGCATGGTTACATTTACTGTTGGGTTAACAGATGATGATGATGGTGATGATGACTGCTGCATGGTTACATTTACTGTTGGATTGATAGATGATGATGACTGCTGCATGGGTACATTTACTGTTGGGTTGACAGATGGGATCGGATGAGGAACTGCAGATGTTGGCACGGTATTGGCTATTGTAGTTACAACTTCATTACAAAGTAAGATGGCAGGACTGGATGAGTTGTGAGTTGTTGTATAGACAGCTTGGCATGAAGTAACAGATGTTTGTACCTCTGCATGATTATGATGTGTCCTCCCTATGCCAGATGATAAAATGGAAGTGATAGATGTCCTTACATTTGTAGTCCTGCAAATATCTCTGACTGACTGCAATGCATGCATAGTTGTTTGCTGAGAAGAACTAGTATGGCTACTAGTGGGGTTAGCATTATGGAGGGTGCTGGACAAAGTGCTACAGCCAGCAATATTTGTCATAGTTATTTCAGACATATTGATACCCTGTGTATTCTTTTGTGATCCGGATGTAACTGCCATGTGGACCATGTCTTGATGGTTATGTGATAAATTGTTATCAACTGCTCTTGCAGACTCACATTGTTGGTTTGTGGATCCATTTTTATCTCTGCTATCTGGGGGTACAATAAATACAGGTTGGTTTGATTTCTCTAAAACCTGTGGACTATTGTGTTTGGAATCCTGAAGGTTGCTGTCATCAGTGGTTAGTAAAGGTTGAGTTTTAGCATTTGATGCCACAGTCTGTGTTGTTGTATGCTCTGATAGCTCCCTTGATACTGAAGGCATAGTTGAAGTAGCCTTTTGTAGTGAATTGTCATTAGTCTTATTAGAATGAGAATCCATTTCAATTGACTCAGTGCTAGGCAAATGTACAATAGAATCCCTCATATCAGCCAAGGCTTTCAAAGAACTTCCACTGCAGCCATCGTCTAAGGATTCTTCGTCTTCAACAGCACTAACTGGAAAAATTCCTGCAGCTACAAGACTACTTGTCAAGATAGAATTACCACTAACACTATGTTCTACTTCAAAAAATGCATCTTGATTCTCATTATCAGCTACAGCAGGAGCTGCTTTTGTATTCTCGCCACTTGTAGCCTGTGAGTTCATTGAAGACACTGGTTTAGATACTAATGGCTGGTTTTCTGTCCAATTTTTTGACTGGTTTGAATAGGTTACAAATGTTTGAGTAGTTAAGGCTGCAGTTGAAGCAGTGACAGGTGCAAGTGAAGGTGTTGACACTGCTGCTGATTTAGTACTTCCTCCTGATGAGACACACGGCTGGTTTGAAGAGTCAGATTTTCCCTTTTTCTTTTGTGAAGGTCGTTTTGTTGAAGAGCTTTTCTTCTTAGGTTTACCTCCTTCAGAAGTCCGATTTCCCTGAGCTGCTCGAGAAGGATTATATGCATTCATCATGACTGAGTTACCAGATGTGCTAACTGGATTTCTTGGTATTCTTGGAGCAATGGGCATGGCAGTTCTGAATGATGATATTGAAAATGGTGGGGAGATATCTGGCCCAATAGTTGATGCAAAAATTGACTCTGCTGCCTTTGCTAGAATGTCTTTAGGTGAAGCAGCTGCTTGCCCTGTGACCACTACACTGCTTGGTATCAACACACTAGATGATACAACAGCAGACACTGGATTAGTTGAAATGTGTAATTGCTGTCCCGTTCTTGTTTGGGCACCAGTAACTTGTGAAATAGCAGCTTGATTTGACTGCACATGTAGTTGATTGATATTAGCTGTAATAGTTTTTGATGTTGTTGTTGCCATAGCAGATGACTGCACCTGTGGAGTGGTATTATCTGCTAAATTTGTTGTTGGTGCAGTAGATGACTGTATTTGTAGTTGGTTGCTGCTAGATGTTGCAGACGCTGTACTAACTTGCGACAATGGTATTTGGTTTGCTGTGACTGGCATTTGGTTAGCATGGGATGCAATTTGATTCAATGTTAAAGTTTGGCTGGCTGTCGTGAGTGGAATTTGAGAAACTAAATTCTGAACAGTAGCTTGAGACACCTGATTGGTTGACATCAGAGTTGTATTATTTGATACAGTTCCTGTGATTTGGTGCATCATCTGATTCATTTGATTGGCTACAGATCCTGGGACGGAAGCTATCATCTGAGTCATTTGATTGGCTGCCGTTCCCTGGACTGGAGGCATCATCTGAGTCATTTGATTGGCTACTGTTGCTTGGCCTGAAGTTATAATCTGTGTCATTTGATTGGCTGCCGTTCCCTGGACTGGAGGTATCATCTGAGTCAATTGATTGGCTGCAGTTGTGTGAATCTGTTGTATGAACTGAGGCATCTGATTAGCCACCATTCCTTGAAAATGAGGCACATTTTGAGGCATGCGATTAGTTCCAGTTGTTTGGATAATACTTGAAACAGTAGCTTGCGGTGTGGGATGAGATGCTGACTTCGTTTGATTAGAATTAGCCACCTGGATCTGAGGAATGGCTTGTGCTGATGGAGCCACTGACCCTGCTTGGTTGGCAATAATCTGTCCATTTGTGCCTACTATAAAAGGTTTATTAATTGTCTGTACAAAACTCTGATTGCCAATTTGAACAATTCTATTTTGACTCATTATATGTTGATGGCCAACTGATTGAAACACCTGATTTGGATTAGCCTGTTGTGGTGCTACAGCAGGTGAAACTTGGCCAGATATTACAGTTTGAAGCATTTGTGTTTGTCCAGCAGGAAATGAATAACTGCCCATCTGTGGTGCAGTTGGCACGGTGACTGGGCCTTGTGGTGTCATGACCTGTACAGTACCTGTGGGCATGGTATTCTGTAATATGACGGGAGACCCCTGATTGGCTGGCTGAATCATCACCAGGCCCTGGTTTCCCTGATTACCTGTTGGGTTTACAATCTGTCGAGTTAGATTGGTCACTGGTTCATTTACATGAGTACATACACTTGTTGTTGGTGTACTAACAGTCACACTACTGGCAGCAGTTTTTTTACTTTTGGTAGATTTCTTTGACTTTGATTTTGATTTTGATGGTTTCTTCCCACTCTGTATTGGATTAGAAGTAGCATTGCCAACACTCTGAACACATGGTCTATCGGTGCTTACTGAAGTGCATGTTGCACTCGCTTGATTTGAAGATGACATAATAGGAGTATTTAAATTGATACATTGTGTCACTGTGGTCACTGCCACCATCTGATTGGCTTGCTGAATCACAGCTAATCCTGAATTGGCTGGTTGAAACATGACTACACCTTGACTGGTCTGTTGTACAACTGGTAAAGTTGGATTCTGCATTGGCATATAGTAGGTGAGACCAGGGTTTGTTGCATTCTGATTCCCTGGCTGGTGTACAATTATCTGTGCTGCATTTGAATATGGCAGTAACATGTTCTGATTGGCCACCGGTGCATTGTATCCTATAACATTTGAAACTTGATTGGATGCAGCTATGGGTACACCAGGTGTATTCATTTGCATATGGGTAACATAATTCTGGTTTTGACTAGGTGCCACAAATGTCGTTGGCACTAGATCATTAGGTTTGCTTGTTAAAATACTTGCACCAACAGGTATTTGACATCCAATTGCAGATTGTTGACTGGCTGAAACAGTGTGATCAGGAACCAATGCAGATTGAGAATGAAAGGTTACAGTTTCTGTGGAGTGTTCTGATGAATTATCACCTTGCTCACTTTCTGTACTCTCATTGGACACTGGAGAACATGCTGCATCACAATTGGCTGCATCTGCACTTCCAGGGCCCTGATTGGTTGATGTGACTTCCTGTGTTCCTTCATCACTGTGTTCTCTAGACGTGGATGCACTTGGTGCACTTGGTGTCTCAGGTATGATAGGTAAACCATCACGTGTCACTTTCAAATTTCGTAATACATTCAAATAATGATGGTTATCTTTCAAGAGGGCCTCATTTTTGGCTTTCAGTTCCTTGATTACAGTAGCTGCAAGAGTGAATACATAAAAGATTATTGTAAGGTTCCGCTGTATTATATAAAAACAACTACTGTAGAATACTTTATTTTCACTTGGAATTTATTTTCGCTATTTTCGCTGAAGGGATGATTCCGTGAAAATAAAATCCAGCGAATATACTTTTTTCCTATATTTCACATTAAACTCATCAAAAATCAGTGAAAATAAATTCCATACAAAACGTCCAAAAAGCATTTTCAGCAAAAATTAATTCCAGCGAAAATAAAGTATTCCACAGTATGTTCAGTATCTAGTTATTTTCAAATTATTATATAATGTGTATTTTATAAATATTATATCATATTAACTTTAGAAAGCTGTTTGATCTTCAGACAAATTATTTATTTATACTTATATTAAGTCCATGGTATCAACCTAAATTTTACTTGGAAGTATGCACATTTATTTTGTAGGAAAACACATCTCCAGCCCACTGCTAAAAAAAAAATTTTCTCACCAAGTTACTTGGTGGTCCCAATGAGAATTAGACAGATTCTATCAGCCTGTATCAATAATACAATAAACAACTTTTTCCAAACATAAATAATTGGATTTTCTGAAAATATCTGGATCCTGTTCATAGTAAGGCAATTGTAGTCAAAGAACAGTGATGATGTTATCAATACTTATTTGTTGACAATTAGATAATATGACAGTGACATACACTGGCTCAAGTGACAACATTATATAGATTTAGAGTAAAGTGTCATAACAAATTTTTGTTCTCATTTGTTCAGCAGTAAAATCAACCAGTTGATGAATCTGAATATATAAACCAAAAACAGATAAACTAAAATCAAAATAGTTTCAAAATATTTGAAATCATGCAATTTGAGTAACAAAGATGGGTGAATGAGAAATTCAAAATTATTTTCAAACATTTCCTGGCAATAAATATCAGCACTATTGATTTGTGTAGATCAAGTGAAGCAACACAATCATTTAAACAGTGCTAATCTGATGGAACCAAAGTGATAAACACTTATATTTCTGAGACAAACAAATACAGCAATAGATTGACCAGAAGAAAATTATATAACTGCCCCAGGGTCCCCCCCCCCCCGAGTGATGTAGCAATAAGGTAGCTGCCGAAGAAGCTGTGTTTGTGAAAGTAATCCGAGAAGTTTGGGGAAAAGATGGTTAACAACTAAATAAATGTTATATATTTTACACTAGTTCCGCTTGCATTGCAAAATATGAATAAACTCATGTAACACTACTTCTCTGACACTGTCCACAAGAGACTCCAGTTGTGATGTAACATAGCAGCCGAACAAAACGGGGCAGATTTGAGATGACTCAAGGCGGTGAATAGGCAATGTAATCTAGTAATGTCAGTTACACACTGGTCAGCTACTGGTCAAACACCATTGCTTGCTATAACAGTGAAAGTAGCCGTGTATCCATCATTTGCATCGTTCTGAGGTAGCCTGCCAATCATGGGTGACCCTAGAACCGATGTGTGATTGTGTTTTGAAAGTTGTATTTGACCTCAGTTAAATTGAATGATTTAATTGAGTGTGCAAAATCCATCAATCAGCGTTCTTGTATCAGCAACTAGCAGAAATTTAAATTTAAACAAATAAATTTTGTCATCTTATATTACGGCATAACTCAACTGACATAGACATGTGACTTCGCATTCGATTTCCCATGGAAACACGTCACAACACTTGACTTTGTGTTTCATTAATCATCATGGCAATGTACCAGAGCATGTGCCATTGAGAGTGATTACAGGTTTATAGTGGGAATTCTGCCAAAGTACAATGGTGAGATGATAGCCGAATAAATTAACCTTGGCTGGTGAAGATGATGTGTATTATGAATATATTATTACTATTCATTAAACTAACCTTGTGGATCTGTAGCACCGCCCAATAACAGCTCTTCATATTTCTTCTGTAATTCAACAATATATTGACTTGCTTCTTCTAAAATGTAATTTTTTCCCTACAGTAAACAATAAGCACCAAGAGTTGATAATATCATCACAAATAGAGGAGGGGAGGAGAAGGGTCCACTGTGATAAAGTGAGGGATTCTGGAAGAGCAAACTAAATGTTGATGTTAATTGGAATTCAATAATTCCCATCAGTATCCTACCTATTAACCTTTTTACCAGTTTAACACAAATGCACAAAATAGTCCTGTTTATATTCTGCCCTTTTCTTCATAAGATTGGGACAATAATAGCCAATATTTTTAAATAAAAACTGAAAACTGACTCAAATTTTGTCTGTTAGCTCCAAAATTAAGGTTCATTTCCAGAAATATTGAAGAATATA